CCACAGCCATTTGAGGGGAAAACTCTATGTTTTCCCCTCAAATGGCTGTGGCCCCGCCCCCAGCGTGCCCGGCATCATGACGTCACATCCGGGTGACGTAGATGCGGCGCACGCATCGGGAGCTGCCCAGGAGTCCCTCGCCAAGGAGGTGAGTGCCATTTGGCAACCCTACAAACAATTCCCAGAACGATGGCAAGGAAATGCGTCCTGTGACGGCATCAACACACAGAGAAATTGCTTTTGGTGTGGAAAATTAAATTGGCCAATGAACTGGCTGCCCAGGGTACCGTTTTAATCTTGAGTACATCCACGATAGGGGCCTTTGAAACTTTGGCCTCTCAGTCTTGCTCCCTGCCCCCATCCTCTGCCGTGCAATCTGAAATTGTGCTCTTGACGTTATTTGCTTTATTTAATCTCCCTCACCACCATTCCTCCCCCCCCTCTTTCCTCCTCAGGAGAGCACATTTTATCTTTCGCCGCCTGCGCAGGGAGTGAATCGATTGTGCAGCTGCTGATTGAAAACGGGGCTGACACCAGAGTGCAAGACTCCTTAGGTATGGAATCTTCCAAGGAGTCATGTCTTGTGAGGAACGTGCTCTGGAGGAGAGGGCAGTTCCGTGGATTCCCTGCCCTGTGGGCCTCTGCCTGCTTTAAGGTGTCAGTACCTGGACAGGGGGAGGCAGGATGCTGAAGGGAGTTATTATAAGCAACACCGGCTGGTGAACAATAAAATCCTGATTCTTCCTGTGGGAGAAACTAAGACCCATTTTTAATACTCCCCCATAGAACCAAATGGTAGTGATATTTTTGAGATTGCACCGTCTCATGATGCAACCAACAAGGGGTGGGTGGTTTCAGAGGGTATTGCATGTTTGAATGCTTCCCCGCAAATTAAGCAGAAGTTCCTTGTCTGCGGAAAATCAGCATGGTAAGGATTCATCTAGACTCCTTCTGTTATGGGTTTCCAGCCAGTGGCAGGAATCCATTGCAGGAGTCTAGAGGGGTGGGGGATTGGGGCACCACAGGCGCAAGGGCATTATGTCACGTCTGGGGGAAACCTGGAAGTTGCATCAGTCCGCTCTAGGAATTGCCTAAAACTCTATGGTATTACCACCGAATTTTTGACGGTTCCTAGAGTGGACTGACATCACATATGAAAGTGACATGGCACAGTCACACTGATGGCAATTAATTCCCCCCCCCCACTGGCCACCAAAGTGGCTGTGGGAAACAAGAGCTGGGGGCGAGAGACTCCCTGCTCCCATTGGGAACCTGGCACCCCTAGTATAGAGTATATAAATATTCAGGGCGGTTCCTTTTAAATTCTGAGGAACCTTCAGACAAGCAATCCCTGCTTGCTGTTGGAGATGGGACAGTCCAGCTGGAGCACATGATTCTGCCATTTGTGCAGCTTGACTATAAGCCTTTTTATTTAAACAATCCTAATTGTGGTCCAGCAATAAACTAAATGTAAATACATACATACATACATATATATATATACACACACACACACACACACACACAAAGCTGGTGAGTCAGTAAGCAGTTAAATGTATATGTGGATGATGGTAGAGATGTAAAGGTTATGACAAATCTTTTGGAGTTTGGGACCATTATTTTCAGTGGGGAGTGTATATGAAGGTTGGTGACAGCAGTTTGTAAAGATGGTGGTGGAAAGTGCTGTCGAGTTGCCCCTGACTTATGGCAACCCTATATGGTTTTCAAGGCAAGAGACGTTCAGAAGTAGTTTGCCAATGCCTGTCTCTCTGTTATGACCCTGGTCTCCCATCCAAACACTAACCAGGGCTGACCCTGCTTAGCTTCCAAGATCTGACAAGACTGGAGTAATATCAAATTTGCATAGAACATACTGCTTCCTATATAGCCTAATAGGCTAATGAGTTTCTGCTGTTGAGTGTGGCCTATTATGCTAATGAGTTCCTGCATAAAAGTGACATTCCTCAGCTTCTGTTACTAGGCTCTTCTCTCAGCAATGGCAGCTACTAAAATGCATTTTAAGAGAAGTTGGGGTAAGGACTGTCTGTTGGCTATCAGACTGTCCTCTAGATTCGGGCGTGATCCATGATTTTTCTCTTTGTGCCGCTGCAGGTAACACTGTCCTCCACATCTTGGTTCTCCAGCCCAACAAGGCGTCTGCGTGTCAAATGTACAATCTGTTTCTCTGCTACGCAAAGGAACACGAGGAGCTGGGAGCCCTGGACTCGGTTCCCAACAACGAGGGGCTGACTCCGTTTAAGCTGGCGGGTGTGGAAGGCAACACCGTGGTGCGTGAGCTGCTGCAGAGGCACATCTTGCTGCCTTTAGGATGTCATGTTCTATAACCCTGAGCTGGGAGGGCGGGCTATAAATGTGAAGAAGAAATAGAAATAAATAAAACATGTAGACATTTCAGAGCAACAGTCCCTATCGTGGTGCCCTGGGGCAACCTGGCACCCACTAGCAGGGGTCATTTCGTAGAAAAATAACCTGGCACCCACTTGCTCCCGGAGTCTAGGGAAAACAATCCAATGCTTCTTGAACAGAGACCCGAGATCCTTGTGGGCAGGTGGGTTACAGCCACGGGCCCTTGGCTTGGCCAGAGTCACAGCCTTTCTACACACGGAGGCATCTCCTTGTGGCCATGCAGGAAGCCTGCTCTTCCCTTTGTAAAGCATCTCTTATCCAAAGCAGAGAGGCCAGCCCAGCCCTCCTCTGTTTCTTCAGGTACTTTGGAAGAACCCAAAAGGCACTGCCTTTGCACCTGCAGAGAGGGCCCGATTCGAAGCAGCTTCCTCCACTGAAGCCAGACACTTGGCTTGCAACCTCCCGGGCATATTTTGACTGATACTGTCCTCAAGGTCGCCAAACCGATATTGGCCCTGCATCCATGGCAGCCATTTTGTGGTGGCTGTAGGCAGTGTTCCCTCTAAGCTGAGTTAGTGTGAGCTAGCTCACAGGTTTTTAGCCTCCGGCTCACACATTTTTGTCTTAGCTCAGGGAGGATGGCTCCAGAGCCAACTAATTTATGCAGTAGCCAAATTGCTTGCTCACAGCTTTAATGCCAGTAGCTCATAAAGCAGAATAATTGCTCACGAGACTCCACAGCTTAGAGGGAACATTGGCTGTAGGGTGACTGGCCTGTGGCTGACAACCAGCAGGAGGGTAGGGGAGGCAGGGTCTTGTGTTGTCGTCTACCTGCCCCTGATCTCATCTAGTCTAATCGAAGGGTATTTTTGCTTCCCAATGATCAGATGTTCCAGCACCTAATGCAAAGAAGAAAGCATGTCCAGTGGACCTATGGACCTTTGTCATCCACCTTGTATGACCTCACAGAAATTGACTCGTGGGGTGATGACCAGTCTCTCCTGGAGCTTATTGTCACCACTAAAAACAGAGAGGTATTTTGGGAGTTTGCTGGGCGATATAGTATTGTAGGACAGGAAACAGGAAGTCGAAGGGTGGAGTTCTGGCATGGGCCTGGGCCCCCTTCCTGAACGATTTGGCTGTTGTTGTGCCTGTTTAACATTTACAATGGTCCTTTGGAATCGAAACTCTAAGCAGTTGCATGATTCTACATGTAGAAGAGATGAAGCAGAAGAGATTGGATTTATACCCCACCCTTCACTACCCAAAGGAGTCTCAGAGCGGCTTACAAACTCCTTTCCCTTCCCCTCCCCACAACAGACACCCTGTGAGGTAGGTGGGGCTGAGAGAGCTCTGACAGAAACTGCTCTTTTTCAAGAACAGCTCTTATCAGAACTACGGCTTGCCCAAGGTCATCCAGCCAGGTGCAAGTGGAGGAGTGGGGAATCAAACCCGGTTCTCCCAGATTAGAGTCCACGCACTTAACCACGACACCAAACTGGCTCATGTAGATGTTAGAGTGTCAGAGTAGGATCTCGGAGATCTGAGTTCAAATCCTTACTCTGCCATGAAGTTCGTGAGTGATCTTGGGCCAACCACACTTTTAGCCCAGCCCACCACGCAGGATTAATGTGAGGCTACAAGAGGGGAGGGAGAAATACGGGTGCTGGAGGACAAGTGGGATAAAAAATACTAGAGCGATACTTTGTCTTTTAAATCTGATCTACGCTCCATCTTTTGTACTGCTTTTCGTATCCTTCACGGTCACTTGCTTATGGGGGGGGAGGTGTCTCCTTGGGAAGGACTATTTGGCCAATCACGTCTTTCTGTTCTCTAGGCTCGGCGAATCCTAGACCTGACCCCGGTGAGCGAGTTGGTAAACCTTAAGTGGAATAAGTATGGAAGGCCGTATTTCTGCGTCTTGGCCGTGTTCTACATATTGTATATGAGCTGCTTCACAATGTGTTGTGTCTACCGGCCTCTGAAACACCGGGGCTACAACAAAACAGATGAAAGAGACAACGTGCTATTGGTCCAGAAACCGTTGCAGGTAAGTTCTCGTTAGTGCAAGAATATTGGTCCATAATGTAAATTATTACAGGAGACGATATCTGTACCGGTTGTCTATCTTTCCTGTTAGATCTCTGTTTAACAATCAGCTCTCCCCACCTAGCATAACACAAATACTATCTGTAGAAATTTTTGAATGCAAATGGACAAATGGAGTTGCTTTCTGTAGAGTCGTGCCCTGGACCTATCTCTTCTTGTTTACCTTGATGGGATTGTGATTTCCAGTGTCTAGCAAAAATGAATTTTAGCACCACTATAAGATAATGTACTAAGCCCTGTCTAGACTCCTAAACTGTATATGCAGAGAAGTTCAGAATTTAAAAAATTGGATTAAAAGAGGGAGAAATTTTCAAGGTATTCAGTGGTTTCCTTAACTAGATCTCCAAAAACTGCTGCTGTTTTACAGACCCACCACACAGGAACAGAAATCCGTTCTCTTTTGACAATGGCGATATGTCCGATTTTAGATTGGATCTTCTCACCGTTTTCCAAAGATAAATCCCAATCCTACATGCCTCCAGTTTGGATCAGATAGAGCTCGGAAAGGGAGACATCCGGGGGGGGGCACCCATCTCCTTACCTGCTTTGGGGCTGCAAAGATGCAGTTTAGCTTTAAAGGTGTCCACAGGTCTCTTAGCCCCTCATCCAGTTTAACCCCCTAAAGGTCATGGCAGAACATACAGCTGGAAATGTTTGATGCTCTGATTGACCGATCTTCAGTTGTAAGATCCAAAGCAGTACCGTGGTACAAACAATTTAAACTAGACCATTGTAGATCAGCTTATTTGGTCAATATTTCTAACCACATTCTTAGGGCGACTTTTACTTCATTCCAATGTCAATCTATGCCAACGGCTGTTCTGACCGGCCACTATCACCAGCTACCAATGGACCAACATGTCTGCATCTGCGGATCACGCCAGAGGATTTACCTCATTATATCTTATTCTGTCCGTTATACACTTACCCTAGGGTTAATTTTTGAGCAGGAATTCTATCTGCCATAAATCCATATACTGTAGAAGAGAAGATTGTATACCTGCTATTTGATCATGTTGCATATGTATCTTATAGAGCCTCTCTGTTTGCCTTTGCAGCAAAGATGCTAAGATCTGAGAGGGTAGCGCTGGGGGCAGTTCCCTGAAACTATAGTTTATCAAGTTTTAACCCGTCTTAGTCTTTTTATGCTTTGATTTCTGTATCTTAGTTTTACGGCTATATTTATTAATGTAATTGGTGGTTCTTTTAAACTTGTAATGGCCAATGGCTAGGGCTTTTTTTGTAGAAAAAGCCCAGCAGGAACTTATTAGCATAATAGGCCACACCCAACAGCAGAAAGTCATCAGCATATTAGGCCATACCCCTGACAGTGTAGCTCATTAGCATATTAGGCCACACCCCCATGCCTTCCCTTGGTTTGCCTGGGTGCCCCGCAGGGAGCCCGGGCAAGCTGACCCTTCGACAGACCGGGGAAGGCATTTAAATGCCTCCTCGATCCTTCCAGGACCCCCCTGGCCCGCCCTCCCCGAAGTCACCGGGGGGGGTCGCTCTCCAGGCCTTCCCTCTGTAGCCACGCATGCAGAGGTTTTGGCTGTAGTGGGCATGGCCAACTCTGAAGCCAGCCGGAACTCCGTTCCTGTGTGTTCCTGTCCAAAAATAGCCCTGCCAATGGCTATAGACGATAAACTATTGACCGACTGCCCTACAGCTGGAAATATACCGTAACGCTGGCTGTTTCTCGGTTATCACCTGCATTTTGATTTGAGCGGGGAATGCAACGAGGTTGGTCCCCACGAACAGACTGCAGCTTGGCTAAGCGGCATCTCTAACAGCACGGGTCATGTCTTCTTTTCAGGAATCTTACATCACTCCCGAGGATGACATCAGACTGGTGGGTGAACTCATCACCGTGATTGGGGCCATAGTGATCTTGATTCTAGAGGTACGAGGAACTGCTTCTGCTCCCCTCTATTCTTGATGCGCACCTATGTTCCAAATTGATAAGTACTGAAATGAAGTCAACAGGATTATTGGCGGTGGCAGCGGTGGGAAGTGACGTCAAGTCACAGCTGACTAACGGCAACCCTGTGGAGTTTTCAACGCAGGAGACGTTCAGAGGTGGCTTGCCATGGCCTGCCTCTGCGTAGCGACCCTGGGATTCTTTGGTGGTCTCCCATGGAAACGCTAGCCAGGGCTGACCATGTTTAGCTCCCGAGATCCAATGAGATCAGGTTAGCCTGGGCTATCCAGGTCAGGGTAGTGAGCTTATTAGTGACTAACAATAATGAACAGTCGGGTGTAGTAGTTAAGAGCGGCGGACTCCAATCTGGAGAACCGGGTTTGATTGTCCACTCCTTCACATGCAGCCAGCTGAGTGACCTTGGGCAAGCCACAGTTCTCTCAGAGCTGTTCTCACAGGAACAGCCCTCTCAGAGCTCGCTCAGCCCCACCTCCCTCACAGGGTGTGGGGAGAGGGAGGGAAGGAGATCGTAAGCCGCTCTGAGACTCCGAGTGAAGAGCGGGATATAAATCCAACTCTTCTTCTTAGGAAATATTGCTCTCTGTAAATTCTCTGGCATTTCAAAACGGAGACTTACAGCCCTGACCTGGATCGCCCAGGCAAGCCCAATCTTGTCAGATTCCAGAAGCTAAGCAGGGCCGACCCTGGCAAGTACTTGGACGGGAGACCTCGAAGGAATACCAGGGCCGGAACGCAGGGGCAGGCAATCGCAAGCCACCTCTCTGAATGTCCAAGCCCCACTAGGGGTTGCCAGAAGTCAACCATGACTTCTGCGCGCACACATAGACACACAAACACGCAAAATACTCACCAAAAATCCCCCTGAGACTTACAAAATACAGTTGGAAAAGAACCATTCGGAGTTACTTGTTCTCTTAAAGAGGCAGCATGGTGTAGTGGTTAAAGTGTCAGACTAAGACATGGGAAAGCCAGGTTTAAATCCCCACTTGTCCCATGGAAACTTGCTGGGTGACCTTGGGCCAGTCACACACTCTCTGTCTAGCCTACCTCATAGGATTGCTGTGAGGATAGAACAGAGGAGGAGGAGGATGTAAGCCGCATACATGCATGGGACTTGCTTTTGATGTCCACCTGGATCCAGGCTTTTAGCATTCTGGGAGCTAAGACTTCTCAGTGTACACAAACACGGGAGGTCCCAGGGAGGGGGAGCCGGGCCTGTGTGGAGCAGTTTGTTTTTCTACTCTTTCCTGCCTCCCCCGGCCTCCCCCTGATTCTTTTTGGGTGAGAGATGGCCACTGCACATGTTTGTGACAATTACTGTATCAACTCCAGGGCTGAGTTCTAACATTAAAAAATATTCTGGAGGCCTTCGGCGATGTGCTTGTCAACCGCGAGAGGTGGTTTAGGTCTCCCGGGGCCACTGCATGCCTGGAGTTGTGACCATAAAGGTGGACAGACTGGTTATCTGCAAGGTTTGCTCCTTAAAAAGACCACCCATTTGATCAACGGCTCTCTCCCTCAGATTCCAGATATCGTCAGAGTTGGAGCCACCAAGTACTTTGGACAAACGATCCTTGGAGGACCTTTCCATGTCATCATGTAAGATCTGTTTCTTGTGAGTGTGGGTGCTTGAATGACCTGTATTAGGACTCCCAAGCCCCCAGTGGTGAAGGGTACTCATGGAGTGACAGTGTGTGTGGGGGGAATTAAAAACAGCATTGCCGACACGACAGTATCACTTCCAGGGAAGACCCGGAAAGGGTGGCAGGTCACTCTAGGGATCACCAGAAACTCTGTGGTTTCTCCTGGAAGTGATATTGTCCCTCTGGCACTGCCATTCCCCACCACCACTTCCCTGCCTCCAACCCTCCTGCCGATTGCCAGGCTCGGCTTGGCAACCCTAGCCTATAAAGCCCTGGGAATTTGGGAAGGCTGGGGTCAAAGGTCCGATGTGTGACCCTTCACTGCTCTTTTACAGCATCACGTACGCCTGTATGATCCTGGTGACCATGGTGATGCGTCTCACCGGCTCTACGGGAGAGGTGGTCCCCCTGTCCTTTGCTCTGGTGCTTGGCTGGTGCAACGTCATGTATTTCGCGCGAGGGTTTCAGATGCTGGGGCCCTTCACCATCATGATCCAAAAAGTAAGTGACGCGCCATCTCTCTGGATCAAGTGTCGCTCTGTTAGAGGGGTCTTTGTTATCATCAGTCCCCTCTCCAGGAAGCTCAGATTCAGAACATGTGAAATCCACCCCTCTCTTTCTGCAGCTAAATGCAGCTTAGACCACAAACAGCCAAGTGGCGATATTATTACCTGCCATTAGCCTCCTTGTGCATCGTGTTCCTTCTTTGGAAGCATAGCATAATGCAGATCTGAACAGTGTTGGACCATAAGTGCAACTGGTTCAAGCGCTGGCCTCTTTAGTCCTCCACGCAACCAGTGATAACAGTTGCAAGCCTACTGTCAGTTCAGAATAATTGTCCACAGCAATGGAGACCTGGCTGTTGGACAGGGACCAGAAGTCCACCCATATTCAGGACATCCCTGTGCTTAAATGCTCCTCCTCCTATGGAACTGTGCATGGCCAGCTGCCCATTAACATTCTCGAACCCAGCAATCTGCACCTCGCTGTTGATCGGCAGCAGGTTCAGGGTAAACTAGAAGAAATCTGTCATTTCTTTCTGTGTGCAGATGATCTTTGGGGACCTCATGCGCTTCTGCTGGCTAATGGCGGTGGTGATCCTTGGCTTTGCTTCTGGTAAGTGGCGCATTTAAGTACATTTCTAAATGGGTTTATATGGCAGCGGCTGACGTCTGCTTGTATGTATGTCCTGCCACTGAACGATGCCAGACTGCATCATGTGAGCCAAACTTGTAAGCCCGAGGAGGGCAGCCTGTGATTCTGGACGGTTCTGTGGTCCTGAAGAACCGGATTCCGATCCCTGTTCAGCCCAGAGCTGGCAACCGTAAGGCCACATGCACCAATGAAGTCTTGCCAAGCTACCCCAGATTGGGAGCATCCTGTAAGCCATCTGCTGATCCCTGGTCTGAAAGGCATCCGGCTGTCCTCGACTCGAGCGAGGGCCTTTTTGGCCCGGGTGGAACTTTTTGGCCTGGTGGAACTCTCTGCCTAACAACATTCGGGCCCTGTGGGACTTAGTGTAAGACAGAAATCTTCCACCAGGCCTACAGTTTAGGACAGCAGTGCTTCCCATCAAGCCTGGCCTCCTCCATCTCTCCTCTGTCCTTTTGGGGAAAGGACTTAAAGTGTCCTAAAATGCCATCGGGCTTGGCCTCCTCCATCTCTCCCTCCCTCGCAGGAAAAGGACAGAAAGCGTCCTTAAAACGCCATTCTGAAATGGTGTTATTACTATTTTGATTGTTTTAACGGTCTTAATTTGATTTACGGTTGATTCATAGATGTATTTATCGACATGATGTATACCACACAGGGGAGGGCAGTCTAAAAATCAAATAAATGAACAAATGCCCTTTTGCACAGCACCAGTGGTGTTCACAGGTTCACGTAGGAAATTGCTTTCTCTTTCCCCCCCCCCAACCTCCACCCTTGCCAGCTTTTTACATCATCTTCCAAACGCAAGATCCTGACATGCTGGGCCACTTCTACAACTATCCCATGGCGCTCTTCAGCACTTTTGAGCTCTTCCTCACCATCATCGATGGACCGGCCAACTATGAAGTGGACCTGCCCTTCATGTACGGGATCACCTACTCCGCCTTCGCTGTCATTGCCACCCTCCTGATGCTCAATCTCCTGATAGCCATGATGGGTGACACGCATTGGCGGGTGGCCCATGAGCGGGATGAGCTTTGGCGAGCTCAGGTGAGTTCAGCTCAAGGAAACCAGGCAACTAAATCCTGCCGGCCACCCTGGCTAAAACACAGACTCGGGTTTCCTTACTCCCTATAATTTCTAAGAGCTCAACAGGAGCCACTTTTTAGAATCTTTAATTGGCTTTTCTTAATTTGCTGAAATGTTGCATCCTACTGCCATGATTTTCTCTCTGCCTCACTGTCTTTTGAGCATCCATCTTTTTCAAATCGTGTGTTCTAGGTTGTTGCCACGACAGTCATGCTAGAACGGAAACTCCCACGATGTCTTTGGCCTCGGTCGGGGATCTGCGGGAAAGAATACGGACTGGGCGACCGATGGTATCTCAGGTAAATCCAGCACATCAAATCAGCAGTAGCTGCAGATCTTCTATGGCAGAAAAGGATTGCACATGAGGAACAGGCATTATTAGTGCTGGAGGAAATCAGTACTTTCCTTTCAGTAGTACCATTGGAGTACATCATGACCCCATTATTTCTAGAAGGAAGAAATCAACTGTATTTAATGAAAGAGTGCCAAACAGCTGCAGATAGTAGAGTTATCAGACCCGGCCTGGCAGCATGAGGGAGACCAGGAGTGTGGTAGGTGGGGGGGGGGATGTCTGCGATGGCGTGGCATCACTTTTGGGGAAATACAGAAGTGACGTCACACCTTTCTAGGAGACACTAGAAGCTCTTTGGTAAAACTGTAGAGGTTTCGGTTATGCCTAGAGAGGGCTGATGTCACTTCTGGTTTCCCTGGAAGTGACACCACACCAGCAGTGATTTCCTCCCCCCCCTTTCTCCCACCAGCCACTAGAGTGCCAGTGGGCAAAACCCACTGGGGTTAGATCTCCTCTCCCAAAAGGATATATGGCAATTCTAGCATTTAGAGACAATGAACTGGTCCAAAATGCCAAGTAGTAGAATGGGGGCATTTTTAGAAAATGCATAACCATCACCCCACCTCCCATTGCTTTACACTAAGATTCAGTGTAAAGGTAAAGGTTTCCCTTGCCCTCTCCCAAAAGGATATATGGCAATTCTAGCATTTAGAGACAATGAACTGGTCCAAAATGCCAAGTAGTAGAATGGGGGCATTTTTAGAAAATGCATAACCATCACCCCACCTCCCATTGTTTTACACTAAGATTCAGTGTAAGGGTAAAGGTTTCCCTTGCTCGAAAACCAGTCGAACCCGACTCTAGGGATGCGGTGCTCATCTCCGTTTCCAAGCCGAAGAGTCAGCGCTGTCCAAAGACATTTCCGTGGTCATGTGGCCAGCATGATTAGACGCCGAGGTGCACGGAACGCTGTTCCCTTCCCACTGAAGTGGTACCTGTTTATCTACTTGCAATTTCTTGCTTTCGAACTGCTAGGTTGGCAGGAGCTGGGACCAGAGGCGGGAGCTCACACCAGTCTGCAGTTCAGCATCTTAACCACTTGAGCCACCACAGTCTATCAGTGTATTCAGTGTAGCATTAGGTAAAGCCTCAGTTACAGCCCATCACACTTTGTCTACCAATGCAAAGGTAAATTGTATCAAGATCTAGGGTAGCAGTGTGCTTTTCTTTTTGGTCTCAGGCAGTTCGGTTCCAGCATGATCTAAAATTGTCCCTCTGAAGGTAACTAGATCTTTGGATGAAAGTTAATGGTTATATTGAGAGAAATTCACACACATCCACCGTTGAATTCTTCCCGGGTGTCCTATCTTGGCACGGAGCTAGCTAATCTACTCTTTATGCACACTGGATACAGTCATCCCCTTTGTGTGTGATTTAAAATAACAGCTTTGCCAACAGGCTATCCTGGGACTCGGCCAAGCTTCAGGCCGCAACGATCCCCGCAGCTCTTTCCAGAACAATTAAATGTTAATACTTTTCTGCATGGCCGGTGGAAAATATAAGGGGGGTTTTTATATATCATTAAGCTTCCTCTCTGAAAATCCTTCAACATATTTTGTTCCAACTTTCCAAAACAGCCAGCACCTAATAATTCTCATTGGCAGTTTGGGAAATTCCATGAGCAATGGAGGTGAATAAACCTGCAGGGAAAGGATCACATGTAAATACTGTGCTAGATAACGGCTAGAACTCTGTAACCCTGAATGAGACATTAGCTCTTGAAGAAGAAGAAGAGAAGATATTGGATTTATACCCCGCCCTTCACTAGCCAAAGGTGTCTCAGAGCGGCTTACAAACTCCTTTCCCTTCCCCTCCCCACCACAGACACCCTGTGGGGTAGGCGGGGCTGAGAGAGCTCTTGACAGAAACTGCTCTTTTTTTCAAGAGCAGCTCTTATCAGAACTACGGCTTGCCCAAGGTCATCCAGCCAGGTGCAAGTGGAGGAGTGGGGAATCAAACCCAATTCTCCCAGATTAGAGTCCGCTCACTTAACCACTACACCAAACTTGAACACCTATTCGAGCTACTTTAAAATGTTCCCCTTTTAAAAGTCACTTGGGAGGAATGGGACACTCACATGCTGCGTTTAATTATTTTCATTATTCTAAATTCCTGAGGGGCAGGCATGAGGAGCCCTGTAGCGTCTTAAAGACTGCAAGGAGTTCCATTGATCTCCTGAAGTGGGCTCTTAATTCATGAAAGCGTTTGCCCTCAATAAATCCGGTAGGAGTATCACAAGGGTCCTTTTTGTTTTCATTATGTTTCAGTGCCCTTTTTAGCGGTAGAAGCCACGGGATTTGAGAATCGCCATTCACCGGCTATCCACATCATTCAGTAGGCAGCTGCAAATCTAGGCTTGGCTCACAAGGGGGTTGCAGCCAGTCCGGGACACCTGATAGGTTTTGCTGTCTGATATAAATTTTCTGCAAGCCTGTGTTTCCTGCATTAGGGCTATACACATTAGGGTGTTCAGGTCACATGGAGTCCTGAGCCGGCAAATCTCATGATGGGAAGGTCCAGCTGCTACTGATAGGACCACTTGAACGTCACATCCTAGGGTTGCCAGGAAATGGGGGCGGGGCCTGGTGTGCCAACTCATCTTCTTGGGGCAAGTAAAGCTGCACCCAAGAGGAATGACTTTGTTTTGCAAGGGTTACTCCTCCCCCTTGCAAGTACCCACCAGAATGGAGAAGGGGCACCTCATGCCTCTGAACATGCAGGCCTGTCCCCTACTGTTTGCCTGGCACAGTTTGAGGCCTTTCTCTAACCTACAGAATCTCCCTAAAAATTAGGTGGCTCTTCCTCAAGTGGACAATACAGATTAGAAGTTCCATTGCAAATATTACATCCCACCTTTTGATTTCCCAGCAGGAGGCTGGGTCGTTATGGCTGGCAGCCTCTGATAGACATCCATGAATACGTGAAGGCCCTTTCTGCACTCTTCTTTTAATCCATGCTCACTGCGGTGTCTTCCAAGCAACTCTGCAGTAAAATCAGATTCAACCTTCTTTTTAATCCAGGTTCCCCCCCCCCATTCTGCACTAAAATCGAGTTCAACCTTCTTTTTATTCCATTTTTTCTCTCGTTCTGTATTACATTACCTCCCTTCAGTGGCCAGACCAGTTTCAGCCTGCTGTTGCCCTGGATTAATTGGATGCTGTTTTGCCCTGGACTTTAATTGCCTTGACTCGAACACTGAGAAAATCTAGAGTGGCAGGCAAATGCGGAAAGTCTTGTTTGGATTACGGATGTTCATTTCTGGAGTGGTGGTTGCATGCAGGATTCTGCGTTTCTGCCGGGAATGCTTCTTGCCTGCAGGGTCCACAGGGGATTCTTTTCATATGCTCCTTGGAAAACGATCTTTACCTTTACCTTTCAGTACCAAGAAACCTGATGTTTTCTTCTCGCTTATATGGGCTGGTTCTTAGCAGTCATGTTGTTATAGTTCAGGAGTGACAACAAGCACACAGGGAACACGGCTAAGTTAGATAAACACAGAAAACACCGTGTTGAAATAATAAATACAATATTCACATGTACTTATAGTTAAATATATTTGCTTTTTATACACAACATCAACTCTAGTGTATTGTAAACACTTTCAAACTACAACATCACATTTTCAAACACTTTCAGACTAAGTTATATAACACGAAGAGTCCAACTGTCTTCCTCCTGATGGAGGATAAATACCAATGCACAGTTATTTGTACCGAACAATGCAGCAACCTATTGTACATTTCCCAAGTGATGATCCATCCAGTAAAGCTAGCAGGCCTCTTGTATTTCTCACTGTGATGATTCAGCTTAGCAAGCAAGCCTGGTAGATGTATTTTCCCATGAGGTGATTCAGCTAGCAAGCAGGCCTAGCAACACGC